CACACATACCACATGTCTGACTGTGCTTACATGTAGTCCTTGTTTCTTCCCCCAGTTCTGTGTGGGGAGCGCTTGTCACAGATGACCAAGACTTACAATGACATAGAAGCGGTGACTCATTTGTTGGAAGAGGTAAGTTTGAGGCATCTGCCTTCCGGTGAGCTAACTCTTACACCCTGGTAATATTTATTTTGTGCGGGTGTGTATGTGGGTGTGATGGGAGGGGGGCGGAGGTCATTAGTTCAATGTAATTTCTAGTTCAGTGTGTGCTTATATGTTTCCCACTGATGTTGACTATTGACGTTATTACTGTTATTATTCTTACTACTACTGTTACTGGAGTGGCAGCGGCGGTGACTATCATTACGCTGAATACCTTTTTAAAAATTATTAGTTTTATTTTTATGAATTTTTTTTTAAATTTTTTATTTGATTCGTTCCATACAACCATCTTTTCCAGTTCCTGTATTTTATAGTTATTCACAAACCTTCTTGGTTGGCTTAATACTGTTCCCCCTTGTTGGGGTTTTTGTTGATAAAGGCTGCTGCCGAAATGTCCCATTATTACTGTGTGTATGTTTTTCCTCCTTTCCACCTCTTTTAAGCTTCTTAACCTTAGTCCACTAGATTAATTTCTTGATACTAGCGTAACTGCAGTCACCCCTCTTTGTTTATCACTTCTGTGCAGAATCATGAACGATTATATCCTTATCTGCCAGTATAAACATGCTATTATAGTGGCCTTATAGTTTCTGGGCTTGAAGAAGGGAAGGAGAACTTTGAAACACAAACCCCTGAAGATGGTGTAAGGAGAACTGTGCAACACAACCCCTCCCCCTACTCCCACTCCTTCGCCACCCCAGGAGAGAGTAAATGATTACTAGGTTTGGAGAAGAGTCGTGAGTCGACCTAACAAGGTACTTGTTGTTTTTTTTAGCCTCATGCAGTCTAAAAACCAGGTCTGGTGATTTAATAGTTAACTAAGTCTTTCAGAGGATTGACCAACCAACTTGTCATCCAACCACTCTTGCAATTGGTCAAGCAAACAACCAGCTAGCCAGTCAAATAGCAATTGGTCTATCAACCCACAAACCAATTTAACATATAAACAACCAACTCATCAGTCAGTCAGCCATCATATGTGAATCATCACTGATCATAAGTTGTTCCCAGTAATTTGGTGTTTCTCCAAGACCATATGTGATGTTCCCCAAAAGCCAAATGTGATGTTTCCCCCACTCAGAATGGATTTTCTTTGTCTTGCAGAAAGAACGTGACCTAGAACTAGCAGCCCGCATCGGGCAGACACTGTTGTCCAAGAACAAAGAACTCAGTTCTCTAACAGAAAACCTAGAGGAACAGTTGAGCCTAGCCACAGACAGGGTCAACCAGTTGCGTCATGAACTGGATAAAAAAGGATGACCTGCTGCGGTTCTACAATGAGGATCTGGAGCATGACAACAGTGGGGACATCACACCAAAGTAAGGTCTTACTCTTCTTCTACCCAGTATCCCCTATGGAGCATAGGCGGTCAACATTCTCACACAAAACCATCCTATCCTTTGCTGTGACATAGAACTCACCCCTTGTCTTCCCTGGTTTTTTTTCCCCTAAACTTGAATCTCTAGCTTCCTTCTCCTTTTGTTTTTGTGTGTGGTCAAGCAAGACCTACATGTGGTATGATAGTGTGTCTCTTGTCAGTGTTCAAAATGGGTGGCATGTTGACAAAACAGGTACAGGACACTTCTCAAGCTGTTGGCACATGGGTCTGACTGACTTTCTACCCCACCAGGACATCACACAAACGATAAACACCTGATTACACAATGTGCCACCATGTGGATGAGGATCACCGTGGAGAGGTCCCAGAAACCGCGAACAGCCAATTGGCCCTATTTATGGCCTGGCTATATTGTGGCCCCTGGCAAAATCCAGGGTGGGGCTTCAAATAACAAAAAATTTCATCCTAAAAAGGACGGTGAATTAGTCAGGCGCATGGGTGCTAGACCCATGCTTTTGTAGACTGGCACTTGACCGGTGATGTTGCCAGTATCTTGCAGGCTGCCCTTATTTCCTATAATATTTCCTTATATATATATTTAAGGCAAGAGGAGCTGAAGCTTCTGTAGCAGAAAAAAACCAAAGAGAGTGGCTCAATTTTGGGCATGTCCTGAGAAAAAGCAAGCACTAAAATGGGAAACAAATGAGTTGACATAATGACATCCAAGAGAAACCTTAAACAGATGTTGGTGAGAGAGACTGATGGTGCTGGACCAGATTCCATGCATAATATTCAAAGGATTGCTCCTCTTCTCGTTTGATGCTTAACTACTGTGTCCACATATTTACATCCTACAACCATAATTCTTCTCCTGCCATGTCCAGTGAAAAGTCAGCTCCTGTGGTCAGTGTGGACTTCCTTGAGAAGAAGGTCAAGACACTGGAGGATGAGAATGTCAATCTGCGTCTTGAGGTGCGTCTGGGATATCATTCATCACTGATCTATTTATGATGTTTTCATCCATCCATTGGTTTATTCATCCATTCATTTACTTGCTAATTGTCTGACTTATTTGTGATCATTCATAAATATTTATGATTACTTAACGGATCAACATCATGGCACATGGGTGTAACCCATAAGTACTCCGTTCTCTAACTCAAGCTTGCGTCTGGAGAATCTCAACGCAGAGCACGAACCCTCTTGCACCTATTGAGGATCCTGAAATACTTTAGGTAGATTTTAAACTTAAAATTTTGCCAAATTCATAATTCATAATTCAAATCATTAATAAATCAGTAGTGTATCTGTTAACCAGTCATGAATGCCTTAATTCGTAATTTTTACTTCATTCTATTGTGCACTTATTTATTCATTAATATCTACATTCATCATTTATTTGTTCAGTCGTTTATGTATTCATTGCTAATTCATACAGTCATCCACTTGTGTATTTCTGTATTCATTCATTCATTCATTCACCGAGCCCTAGTCTGGGGCAAGAGTTACAGCAGAAGAGATCATTGTAGACAGAAACCAATAGATTGACTGCTTTTGTCAGGATCAGCTCAGTACAGCTAACCAAGATTCTGCTGTCTGGACTAAGAGATAGAGATCCCAACGGGGGAGAGGATGGGGGGGGGGGGGGGGGGGGGGCAGAAAACTGATCTGACAAAATGCCTAAATGTCACTGATTGTGTTGGCCAAACAAAATGTTCAGCTATGGCAGCATTGCTGTAAACAGACACAACACAACCACATTCCCAGTTTGGGGTGAATGAAGAATAAGAAACTTCTAGGTCTAAGTGTTATTGTTAATAATGTTAGGTGCTACACAGCTGAAATTGTCTCTTATTGACATAATGCACATCTGAAATTTTCTCCTATTGAGATAATGCACAGCTGTGTCAGCGACCTAATTTACTATATTCATTTTCTATGGCTCGCTAGGTAGGCCAGCTAACAGACTTCACTACCCTACGACACACTTAAGACACACACCTGCTGAGTACAAACATAATCTTTAATTTACAATGAACAATACAACTAGTAACACTTCAACTAAGCTGGCAGTCCTTATCCTGAACGTCAGCGTTGAGCAGCTTTTACATTCACTGGTCAATCCGAGCCGTTCCCATCGATCCCCAAGGACACTATTCCAAACTAACAGTTTATCAGTGCTGACTAAGCCGCAGTCTATTGCCACGGGAGACTCAGTGACACACGTAAGTGTGGCTGGGCAGTGTTACCGTCATTAACAATGCATGTCGCACATTCACTAGCTGCTTAACAAATACTGCCTGGAACGTCTACTATACAAGGAACATTAACTCTATCTATCTCGTCCAAACATTAAATGGAAACACAGCCTATCTAAAAAATATTAACCACAAACGCTATTCAATGTAACTAAAACTACGTTTACCTAATCAAAGCGCTACGTCTCGTCCAGTCGAATGTCTACCACACACCTCTCCTCCAGTGAGCTCTGTCCAAGCTTTTTGTTCCCCTCCTGCGTTCATCTCTGGACACGCTGCTGTAATCCGTGTTAACAGTGTGACCTGGCTTAGCCAGTTAACTCGACCCAGTTTATTCCATGGTCAAGTTGCCCGGTCTCACACTGAGCTTTACTGAGGGTCAGCTCGTTCATACGTGATGATTCACTATCATCAACTCCATTCATCCTGTAGCCTAACTGGCCTCTGACAAGCTGAAATTTTCTCCTATTGGCATAATGTACAGCTGAAATTTTCTTCTATTGACATAATGCACAGCTGAAATTTTCTCCTATTGACATAATGCACAGCTGAAATTTTCTCCTATTGACATAATGCACAGCTGAAATTTTCTCCTATTTGCATAATGTACAGCTGAAATTTTCTCCTACTGATGACATAATGCACAGCTGAAATTTTCTCCTATTGACGACATAATGCACAGCTGAAATTGTCTCCTATTGATGACATATTGCACAGCTGAAATTTTCTCCTATTGATGACATATTGCACAGCTGAAATGTTCTTGTATTGACAGAGTGAACAGCTGAAATCAGAGACTGACAACTTTGAAGAAAAGGAAAAACGATTAGTGGAGGATTGTATTCAGCAGTTGGGTAGGTTTGTTTTTGAGGCATACACTTGGTTTTCTCTTTCCGAACTTATACCTTTCATTTTTTGTTTCATAGACTTGTTCTGTTCATTTCTGCTTGTACTTGTGGGCATGTATGCATGCCTATATAAATGCAAGCATATTCGTGTATGTATACATGTTTGTATGTATGAATGTGTGTATGTTTGCATGTTGTTATTATGCAAGTGTGTACCTTTGTGAATATTATGTGAATATGTTTGCGTGAAGAACAAATGTAGTATAGAGGTTGGTCACTTACCTGCCAGCCTACAGGTCTTAGATTCAATTTTTGGATCAGTCATATTTTTTTGCAGCATTTTCTAGCTAGCATCATGTGCCTGAATCATCACTGGAAAGGATTCTTTACTGTCTGTAGGCATGAAGGTGTATATCTGTATACAGGGTTGTTTACTGTCTGTAGGCATGAAGGTGTATATCTGTATACAGGGTTGTTTACTGTCTGTAGGCATGAAGGTGTATATCTGTATACAGGGTTGTTTACTGTCTGTAGGCATGAAGGTGTATATCTGTATACAGGGTTGTTTACCGTCTGTAGGCATAAAGGTGTATATCTGTATACAGGGTTGTTTAACGTCTGAAGACATAAAGGTGTATATCTGTATACAGGGTTGTTTACCGTCTGAAGACATGAAGGTGTATATCTGTATAAAGGGTTGTTTACCGTCTGAAGACATAAAGGTGTATATCTGTATACAGGGTTGTTTACCATCTGTAGGCATGAAGGTGTATATCTGTATACAGGGTTGTTTACCGTCTGTAGGCATGAAGGTGTGTATCTGTATACAGGGTTGTTTACCGTCTGTAGGAATGAAGGTGTGTATCTGTATACAGGGTTGTTTACCGTCTGTAGGAATGAAGGTGTGTATCTGTATACAGGGTTGTTTACCGTCTGTAGGAATGAAGGTGTGTATCTGTATACAGGGTTGTTTACCGTCTGTAGGCATGAAGGTGTGTATCTGTATACAGGGTTGTTTACCGTCTGTAGGCATGAAGGTGTGTATCTGTATACAGGGTTGTTTAACGTCTGAAGACATAAAGGTGTATATCTGTATACAGGGTTGTTTACCGTCTGAAGACATGAAGGTGTATATCTGTATAAAGGGTTGTTTACCGTCTGAAGACATAAAGGTGTATATCTGTATACAGGGTTGTTTACCGTCTGTAGGCATGAAGGTGTGTATCTGTATACAGGGTTGTTTACCGTCTGTAGGCATGAAGGTGTATATCTGTATACAGGGTTGTTTACCATCTGTAGGCATGAAGGTGTAAATCTGTATACAGGGTTGTTTACCCTCTGTAGGCATGAAGGTGTATATCTGTATACAGGGTTGTTTACCATCTGTAGGCATGAAGGTGTATATCTATATACAGGTTTGTTTACCCTCTGTAGGCATGAAGGTGTATATCTGTATACAGGGTTGTTTACCCTTTGTAGGCATGAAGGTGTATATCTATATATAGGTTTGTTTACCCTCTGTAGGCATGAAGGTGTATATCTGTATACAGGGTTGTTTACCATCTGTAGGCATGAAGGTGTATATCTGTATACAGGGTTGTTTACCATCTGTAGGCATGAAGGTGTATATCTATATACAGGGTTGTTTACCATCTGTAGGCATGAAGGTGTATATCTGTATACAGGGCTCTTTACCATCCGTAGGCACGAAGGTGTATATCTGTACACATGGTTGCATATTTAAAACATTGTATATATAAGGGTTGTCTATTTGTATATATCTGTGTACCTATGTATTTGTCATACCATGTTTCTGTGTGCTTAGTATTCATATTACATTTATTACTGTTTATCTGAGCATAATATGCATGAAATATAAAATGCATTTATTGTGTGTCATAGGATTGATTGGAAGGTCCGAATGTAAGACAGGCGTGCTGAGTTGTGGCAGGCTTGCGTGTCCGAGTTGTGGCAGGCTTGCGTGTCCGAGTTGTGGCAGGCTTGCGTGTCCAAATTGTGGCAGGCTTGCGTGTCCGAGTTGTGGCAGGCTTGCGTGTCCGAGTTGTGGCAGGCTTGCGTGTCCGAGTTGTGGCAGGCTTGCGTGTCCGAGTTGTGGCAGGCTTGCGTGTCCGAGTTGTGGCAGGCTTGCGTGTCCGAGTTGTGGCAGGCTTGCGTGTCCGAGTTGTGGCAGGCTTGCGTGTCCGAGTTGTGGCAGGCTTGCGTGTCCGAGTTGTGGCAGGCTTGCATGTCCGAGTTGTGGCAGGCTTGCGTGTCCGAGTTGTGGCAGGCTTGCGTGTCTGAGTTGTGGCAGGCTTGCGTGTCCGAGTTGTGGCAGGCTTGCGTGTCCGAGTTGTGGCAGGCTTGCGTGTCCGAGTTGTGGCAGGCTTGCGTGTCCGAGTTGTGGCAGGCTTGCGTGTCCGAGTTGTGGCAGGCTTGCGTTTCCGAGTTGTGGCAGGCTTGCGTGTCCGAGTTGTGGAAGGCTTGCGTGTCCGAGTTGTGGCAGGCTTGCGTTTCTGAGTTGTGGCAGGCTTGCCGAGTTGTGGCAGGCTTGCTGAGTTGTGGCAGGCTTGCGTGTCCGAGTTGTGGCAGGCTTGCATGTCCGAGTTGTGGCAGGCTTGCATGACCGAGTTGTGGCAGGCTTGCTGAGTTGTGGCAGGCTTGCGTGTCCGAGTTGTGGAAGGCTTGCGTGTCCGAGTTGTGGCAGGCTTGCGTTTCTGAGTTGTGGCAGGCTTGCGTGTCCGAGTTGTGGCAGGCTTGCTGAGTTGTGGCAGGCTTTCTTGTCCGAGTTGTGCCCTTATGAAAATAAATGAGTTTCTTCTAGGTGTTTGTTTTGGCTGCTTATTTTTAAAAAAAATTTTCAGTCTTGTTCTCTTTTCTGTACTTCACTACCTCTGCTTGTTCTGATATTGTATGTTGTTAATACATCAATCAGTATTTGCTATACTATTTACAGCAGTATTTTGTAAAATAGTAACAAAAATGTTTGATAATTTGATGGCAGTTTTTTGTATACAATTACAATAGTATTTATGACAGTTTTTCTAAGATTTTAAGGACAGTATTATTGTCTGCCTCCATTCTTACATCATTTGATTCACACATCGAGTAGTAAACATTATCATTGCATCAAAATATTCAGTACAAGCACTGGAATGTCTACATTTCTAACTACAATAAACCGTAGTGGTTGTTATAAATCTAGGGAAAATGGACGCTGTTTCAACAATGTTTTTCTGTTTGTCTTCTATGAGGGCATGTAATCTGTGCTCATTAAAGGTGAGGTAATGTTTGTGGTACCTATTTGTGACATTGCAGCCAAACCTGTTGTATGAGTTAATGTCTATGGGGGCATGTAATCTGTGCTCAGTAAAAATGTTGTTGATTATAATTATTGTGATGGTGTTTACAGTTAGGGATATTATTGATGGATTTAGTGGTTTTTCAAGAGTCGCCATGTGTAGTGGCCAGACACTCACTGTGGGATATGAAGGTCGTGGGTTTGGATGCTGATGGAGTGCTGAATTTTTCCAAAAAGTGACCTTGTTTGTTATGTTGAACCTATCCTTGAGTGGGAAGCATGTACAGTCTGGCAAGGAAAGGCTGATGGCAGTGATGCTGGAAGACAACACAACACCACCCAGTGGCGGACTGGTCTATAACGCAGTAAGGTTTAGCCTGTATGCTGCCAATGTAATCTAAAAAGTTGTGGGGAAAGGGGTCATGTACTTGTGTGATACTTCTGTGTGATGATTATACTGGATGTGGCTGGATTGATTATACTGACTACGTGGATGATAAATGACGATTTGTACTATCTTCTTCTGCCATTCCTCTTTAAAATGGTAGTTGGTATGTCCATGGTATAGTTTACAGCCTCCTGTGATCTCGGCATCATTTGATTCCAAAACATCGTCGTGAGTAACAGCAAATCATTGATCAGTCACATATCTTGGACATGCTATTGGACCTGGAAGGGTCTGTTACCCCCCCCCCACTACAATTCCCTTTTTTTTGGTTTGTGATAGAACCTGCAGTGGGAATATATTTAATGTGATCAGAGCTCCTATGTGGGTTCTTAAGCCCGTTTTGGGTCAGAAAGTACTAGACCAGGGCCCTCCCTAACAAAGAATGCTCATAAAAGCAGCTAGTTAGGGTATGTCCTTTAAAAGTGGATGCCTCTGCCTGACCTGTGAGGAGCAACAGTCTGCAAACAGAAAAGTCAGATATGTAAAATGAATCGATAATATTTATGTCAAGTCTGTGCTAGAAGTGGAAGGCCAACCAGAACTGTCCGTTGATTATAATGCTGTATGGAAGAAGAAGGAAGAAGAAGAAGTATAAGACGGAGTTTAGTACTTAAATTTAAATAAAGAAGACGCCACTGTGTAGTGGCAACAGACAATCACTGTGTGATCTAGAGCGATGCGTGGTGTATGGATGACAAGAAAATACAGTGAAGCAAGGAATCCCTGATCAACACATTCAAAAGTAAACTGCCTGTTTGACAGGAAAAATGCATGTTTCACCATCAGTCTTTTGTTGGCACAATACTTCACAGAACGTGGGAAGCTATGGTCGCTTCGAAATAACATGAAAGCTGTGATTAGCGACACACAAACAGCAATGTGAAATATTAGTTGTTGCTGTAGTAATAATGCTACCGATGAGGTTCTAGCAAAATGTGCCAGGCAATAAATGAGCAGTCTGTGTATTCCTTACAGATCATTTGATTCAAAACATGAGTAGTAAACATTGTATCATTATCATCACAATATTTTAGTTTCGTGAAGCACTGGAGAGTCTACATTTTTTAACTACAATAAACCGTAGTGGTTGTTATAATCTAGGGACAAATGGACCTGTTTCAAGTAGGTTTTTCTGTTGTCTGCTATGAGGGCATGTGATCTGTGCTCATTAAAGGGGTGATGTAATGTTTGTGGTAAAGCCTATTTGTGACATTGCAGCCTATGTTGATATTCTGTTGTGTTAATGTCTATGGGGGCATGTAATCTGTGCTCAGTAAAAATGTTGTTGATTATAATTATTGTGATGGTGTTTACAGTTAGGGATATTATTGATGGATTTAGTGGTTTTTCAAGAGTCGCCATTGTGTAGTGGCCAGACACTCACTTGTGGATCTGAAGGTCGTGGGTTTGGATGCTGATGGAGTCTGAATTTTTCCAAAAGTGACCTTGTTTGTTATGTTGACCTATCCTTGAGTGGGAAGCAGGTACAGTCCTGGAAAGGAAAGGCGGCTGGCGTGATGCTGAACACATCACCCACCCAGTGCCGACTGGTCTATAAAGTATAGGTTTAGCCTCTATGTGCCCAATGTGCCTAAAGTTGTGGGAAAAGGGTCCTTTACTTGTGTGATTCTTCTGTGGATGATTATACTGACTGTGTGGATGATTATACTGACTATGTGGATGATAAATGATGATTGTACTATCTTCTTCTGCATTCCTCTTTAAAATGGTAGTTGGTATGTCATGTTATAGTTTACAGCTAGGCTGTGATATCGGCACCTTTGGGCCCAACACGTCTGAATTAAGCAAATCCTTGATCAGTCACCTATTATGACATGCTTATTGGAAAGAAAGTGGTCTGTACCCCCCCCCCCCCCCCCCCCCCCCCCCTTTTTTTTTTTTTTTTTTGTTACAGAACCTTCAGTGGAAATATATTAATGCTGATCAGAGCTCCATATGTGGGTTCTTAAGCCCTGTTTTGGGTCAGAAAGTACAGACCCACTGCCTCCCTAACAAGCATGTCATAAAAGGTAGCTAGTTAGGGGTATTTCCTTCAAAGTTGGATGCCTCTGCCTGAGATGTGAGGAGCCAACAGTCTGCAAACAGAAAAGTCAGATCTGTAAAATGAATCTATATATAATTCAAGTTCTGTCCAGAAGTGAAGGCCAACCAGAACTTTCCGCTGGTGAACGCTAAATAGAAGAAGAAGAAGAAGAAGCTTATAAGAGCAGTCAGTACTTTAAATTTAAATAAAGAAGACGCACTTTATTGTCAACCATATTTGAATGTATCTCCTGAGGTGCATGCTATGGTAACAAGAAAATACAGGGAAGCAAATGAAATACAAAATCAACCACATTCAAAAGTAACTGCCTGTTTGACCAGGAAAAATGCATGTTCACCATCATGTCTTTTTGTTTGCACAAACTTTCACAGAAATCATTTAGTATGGTCGCTTCGAAATAACATGAAAGCCTGTGATTAGTCGACATGTACAGAATTTGAAATATTTAGTTGTTGCTGTAGTAATGCACCCGATGAGGTAAAGCAAAATGTGCCAGGCAATAAATTGAGCAGTCTGTTCTCTGTGTCTTCTTTATTTAAAATTATTGATGCTGTTGATAATGTGTGTATATATATATATATATATATTTTTTTTTAATTTCTGTGAATGATTATACTAATTAGGTTGATGATGATAATAGCATCACATTTTTGTTTGTACATAGTTGATATTCTGCTGTGTGACTAGCATGTCTATGTTTATATTCTGTTGTGTGACTGGCATGTCTGTGTTTATATTCTGTTGTGTGACTAGCATGTCTATGTTGATATTCTGTTGTGTGACTGGCATGTCTGTGTTTATATTCTGCTGTGTGACTGGCATGTCTGTGTTTATATTCTGCTGTGTGACTTGCATGTCTGTGTTTATATTCTGTTGTGTGACTAGCATGTCTATGTTTATATTCTACTGTGTGACTAGCATGTCTGTGTTGATATTCTGCTGTGTGACTAGCATGTCTATGTTGATATTTTGCTATGTGACTAGCATGTCTATGTTGATATTCTGTTGTGTGACTAGCAGGTCTGTGTTGATATTCTGCTGTGTGACTAGCATGTCTGTGTTGATATTCTGCTGTGTGACTAGCATGTCTATGTTGATATTCTGTTGTGTGACTAGCATGTCTATGTTGATATTCTGTTGTGTGACTAGCATGTCTATGTTGATATTCTGTTGTGTGACTAGCATGTCTATGTTTATATTCTGTTGTGTGACTAGCATGTCTATGTTTATATATTTTGTTGTGTGACTGGCATGTCTATGTTGATATTCTGTTGTGTGACTAGCATGTATATGTTTATATTCTGTTGTGTGACTGGCATGTCTATGTTTATATTCTGTTGTGTGACTAGCATGTCTATGTTTATATTCTGTTGTGTGACTAGCATGTCTATGTTTATATTCTGCTGTGTGACTAGCATGTCTATGTTTATATTCTGTTGTGTGACTAGCATGTCTATGTTTATATTCTGCTGTGTGACTAGCATGTCTATGTTTATATTCTGTTGTGTGACTGGCATGTCTATGTTTATATTCTGTTGTGTGACTGGCATGTCTATGTTTATATTCTACTGTGTGACTAGCATGTCTATGTTTATATTCTGCTGTGTGACTAGCATGTCTATGTTTATATTCTGCTGTGTGACTGGCATGTCTGTGTTTATATTCTGTTGTGTGACTGGCATGTCTATGTTTATATTCTGCTGTGTGACTGGCATGTCTGTGTTTATATTCTGTTGTGTGACTGGCATGTCTATGTTTATATTCTGTTGTGTGACTAGCATGTCTGTGTTTATATTCTGTTGTGTGACTAGCATGTCTATGTTTATATTCTGTTGTGTGACTGGCATGTCTATGTTTATATTCTGTTGTGTGACTAGCATGTCTATGTTTATATTCTGTTGTGTGACTAGCATGTCTATGTTTATATTCTGCTGTGTGACTAGCATGTCTATGTTTATATTCTGTTGTGTGACTAGCATGTCTATGTTTATATTCTGCTGTGTGACTAGCATGTCTATGTTTATATTCTGTTGTGTGACTGGCATGTCTATGTTTATATTCTGTTGTGTGACTGGCATGTCTATGTTTATATTCTACTGTGTGACTAGCATGTCTATGTTTATATTCTGCTGTGTGACTAGCATGTCTATGTTTATATTCTGCTGTGTGACTGGCATGTCTGTGTTTATATTCTGTTGTGTGACTGGCATGTCTATGTTTATATTCTGCTGTGTGACTGGCATGTCTGTGTTTATATTCTGTTGTGTGACTGGCATGTCTATGTTTATATTCTGTTGTGTGACTAGCATGTCTGTGTTTATATTCTGTTATGTGACTAGCATGTCTATGTTTATATTCTGTTGTGTGACTTACATGTCTATGTTTATATTCTGTTGTGTGACTAGCATGTCTGTGTTTATATTCTGCTGTGTGACTAGCATGTCTGTGTTTATATTCTGCTGTGTGACTAGCCTGTCTATGTTTATATTCTGCTGTGTGACTAGCATGTCTGTGTTTATATTCTGCTGTGTGACTAGCATGTCTATGTTTATATTCTGCTGTGTGACTAGCCTGTCTATGTTTATATTCTGCTGTGTGACTGGCATGTCTGTAATTAATGTTTATTTTTGTGTCCTGGCAGCTGACTCTAGAGAACTTAGACATTCATGAGAGACTAATGGCCTCCACAGAATCACAGCGCAGGTTGACCAAAGAGGTTTGTGTAGTCTGTGTCTTTGCTTGTGGATCTCCTCCAGTGATGCTCTCAGTTTGTAATAGTTCAGTCAGTCAGTCTTTTTCTTCGTAGGATTCTGGTGGAAAGTTCTGGTGGTTCCTCCACTTCTGGACTTTTGTCTTATTCTAGAACATCAGATCTGTGTGTACATTCATTTTATAGATCTGGCTTTTTTGTGTGCAGATTGTTGGTTCTTAAACCATTAGGCAGATGCACTCCAACTTTAAAGAAAACATCCCAAAGTAGTCCATTTTTTATGACATGTTTTTCTTTCCCTACATGCCACGAAATGTCCACAATGAAGGTTGGTTACAGTACCCACTTCTCTCTTGGGGAATATTGTATAGTGAGACCCCAGTCTCTTCTACGGTGTGACTCTCTTACCGCTGCCCAAAAGCCACGAGAACAAATTTAGTCTAAGTCGCCTTCCAATACTTTCAAATTGTGAAACAGTTTCACTAACCTCTACACCACAGAGCAGCACAGGAACCAGATTATTTTGGGAATTTCCTGGGATTTGACCAGAAAGGAAAGGTTCTCATGTTTGGAAATGGCTACCTGACTCCCCTTGTGCTGTATTTTTGTATATCGAAAGCTTTAATGCACAGAAAGCAGTGGTAAACTTCTGAATAGATCAACCCCAAAGATCTCCCCCTCCACTCCCCCTGAGATATAAACTTTGAGGTACCACCTAAAGAGATAATTAGGAAAGCTATCAATCTTCTGAAGGAATTAAAGGCTGCAGGTCCAGATGATAGCAGACTGGAGAGAAGGATATCTTGTGAAACTGCTTAAAAAAGGTTATCTTCATGAGTGTGAAAACTCTAGAGAAATTATGTTGCTGTGTGTTCCTGGAATAATATTAGGTAAGATAAAACAAATAAAAGATACTATTCATAAACACTGAAGAGATGAACAGGCAGGTTTTTAGCCAGACAGATTTTATACTGACCAGATAAATTGTGCATAATAATGGAGCCAAGCATTGAACTGCATTCACCAGCGGCCAGCTACTGAGTGTAAAAATTGCCTAGTAAAATCACACAACAGCCGTAGGTTTGTGAAGTCCTGACAACGACAGGCAGCTAACATGTTTCAACATCTGGCACCCCAGTATTGGGAGCCATGGTAGCCCAGGGGCTAGATACCCATCTGCTGCCTCAAGGTCTCGGGTTTGAATCCAGCTGAGTTGAATTTTGTTTTGATCTTGGCTCACAGGTCAGTCTAGCCTAAAATGGGTACCAGGTACTGTCCTGGGAAGTACATGTGGCTGACGTGTTGTTGAGCACATCCCCCACCAAGAGCCACTTGGTCTATAGAAATATGATTCAGGTATGATATGTCTGATGTGACTGGCTTTAAAAAAACGGGACTTTGCTTACCACAGATACAGCCATAGAAAAATGTCTAGGTTGTAGTTTAAGAAGTTTTACTTTGAATACTGCCTCTTGTTTGAGCTGGTGTGTGTTTGAATCCCCACCAGCTTGGAAGTATGCATGACAAATACGATGAGCTGTTTGAGATGTTGGAAGAGGCCCAGGATGAGTTGAGGCTGCTGAGAGGCAAAAACAAGGTCCGAGCCAGCGGCCAGCACCACCACTCGGCGTACTCTGTCCCCACAGACTCGCTGGCCTCGGAGCTGGAGACCTCGCTGCAGCAGGAGCTGTCACAGTCCAAGAGAAGGTAAGCAAGCTGATGTGTGTGTCTCCATGTGTACTAGAACCTTGTGAACTTTTAGCAGCAAGGCATGATGAACATAAAGGTGGCTTATAAGAGGTGGAGGGAGTCAGTGCTGGCTTTCCTGAAGGTTCCACCAGGTGTATCTGTTGATTGTTTATGTTTATACAGTGCATTGTCTCTCCCAGGTCCCAAAGCTGGAAAGTGTTTGAGACAGCTCGGGCAGCCAAGAGAGCTGCGGCTAAAGCAGTTCACAGAGAAGCTTCAGCGGTCACCCGTGTGTCCCTAGCAGGCCAGGCCATGTTGGAGACTGACTCCCAGGGGCCTTCAGCGTATCCTTCTGATGTAGGAGAGCATGGCCAGCGATGGTTACAGTGCAGACATGGACAGTTTGTATGGGTAGGTGTTTGTGTCAGTGGCTTTAAACCTGTTGTGTGAGTTATTGTTTGAGGTAGATGTTTGTGTCAGTGGCTTTAAACCTGTTGTGTGAGTTATTGTTTGAGGTAGGTGTTTGTGTCAGTGGCTTCAAACCTGTTGTGTGAGTTATTGTTTGAGGTAGATGTTTGTGTCAGTGGCTTCAAACCTGTTGTGTGAGTTATTGTTTGAGGTAGGTGTTTGTGTCAGTGGCTTCAAACCTGTTGTGTGAGTTATTGTTTGAGGTAGGTGTTTGTGTCAGTGGCTTCAAACCTGTTGTGTGAGTTATTGTTTGAGGTAGGTGTTTGTGTCGGTGGCTTCAAACCTGTTGTGTGAGTTATTGTTTGAGGTAGATGTTTGTGTCAGTGGCTTCAAACCTGTTGTGTGAGTTATTGTTTGAGGTAGATGTTTGTGTCAGTGGCTTCAAACCTGTTGTGTGAGTTATTGTTTGAGGTAGATGTTTGTGTCAGTGGCTTCAAACCTGTTGTGTGAGTTATTGTTTGAGGTAGGTGTTTGTGTCAGTGGCTTCAAACCTGTTGTGTGAGTTATTGTTTGAGGTAGATGTTTGTGTCAGTGGCTTCAAACCTGTTGTGTGAGTTATTGTTTGAGGTAGATGTTTGTGTCAGTGGCTTCAAACCTGTTGTGTGAGTTATTGTTTGAGGTAGGTGTTTGTGTCAGTGGCTTCAAACCTGTTGTGTGAGTTATTGTTTGAGGTAGGTGTTTGTGTCAGTGGCTTCAAACCTGTTGTGTGAGTTATTGTTTGAGGTTGATGTTTGTGTCAGTGGCTTCAAACCTGTTGTGTGAGTTATTGTTTGAGGTAGGTGTTTGTGTCGGTGGCTTCAAACCTGTTGTGTGAGTTATTGTTTGAGGTAGGTATTTGTGTCAGTGGCTTTAAACCTGTTGTGTGAGTTTGAGGTAGGTGTTTGTGTCAGTGGCTTCAAACCTGTTGTGTGAGTTATTGTTTGAGGTAGGTGTTTGTGTCAGTGGCTTCAAACCTGTTGTGTGAGTTATTGTTTGAGGTAGGTGTTTGTGTCAGTGGCTTCAAACCTGTTGTGTGAGTTATTGTTTGAGGTAGGTGTTTGTGTCAGTGGCTTCAAACCTGTTGTGTGAGTTATTGTTTGAGGTAGGTGTTTGTGTCAGTGGCTTCAAACCTGTTGTGTGAGTTATTGTTTGAGGTAGGTGTTTGTGTCAGTAGGTTCAGCCTTGCTGTATGAGGTAATGGTAGGTGTTTGTGACTGTGTCAGTTGGTTCAAAACTGTTGTATGAGTTAATGTTTGTGGTACCTATGTGTGACATTGCAGCCAAAACTGTTGTATGAGTTAATGTTTATGTCAGTGGGTTCAGATGTGTTGTATGAGTTAATGTTTATGTCAGTGGGTTCAGATGTGTTGTATGAGTTAGAATATGGGGCGGATGTGGACAGCATTTGAGGACAAAGTTGATTGTATGACCAGTGTCTGCATCAGGAGGAAACTGCTTATTTGTATGCTCAGATGCAATTAGAGCTGTAACAGATACTGCTGATGTTGGTTGCCATGTCACAAATGCACATACAGTATTATGAATGTCCTGTTGTGAGATGTCTCTCTCAGAATGCACAATGTAACTTCATCCTGGGGTTTATGATTCTGTAGGTCAAACCCAGAGCTGGGTCAGCCAGGGATCCCTGGTTCCAACGACCTGGAGAGTGCCCTGAAAAGATTGGCTATGCGCAGGGCAAATGAGCAGAATGAGCGAGATTTCCTGGACGAGGAAGAGGAGAGAAGGAGAAGGAAAGTGCAGGCAGCAATGTAAGTCATAGATATGATTGATTCGATGTTACTCTGCTCCCTCTTTTCTAAGTGTTGTTGATAACCTAATAGGGCTTAGAGCCTGCACTGTCTTGTGCCAATCCTTCTATAATTTGATATCTAATGTAGGTTCATATCTTTTGCATGTGACTCATGTATCTTCTCTTTCTGCTCTGCATTGTTTTGTGTGTAGCTTTTCAAGTCATTGGCTGAATTATATTTCATTATTTTCCCCTAAAAACTTGTTCTTAACTTGGATTAGTTGGAGCTCAGTTTTTGTGCCACACACACTGTAGTTCTTGATACCATTCTTGTTGGTGAACTCTAATGCAGTGTTTCCAGTTTCTGCTTCACTGGAGATGAGACAACATAGAACAGTTTGACCTGCATTGAGTAAAGGCCTAGGCTCCAGTTGGAAATAATGGGGAGAAGAAAAGATTGGCCAGTATGCTTGGAGTGTATAGTGTCACTTTGTCTCGAGGACGAGTTGCCTGAGTGGGTAGAACAGTCGATCACTGGACTGACATGCGGGAGACATCATTTCCAATCCTTGGTAAACTGATAGAAGTTTTGTCTGTCCAGAGCTTAAAAAATAAAAATCCTAACCTGCGCAGTCCCTGGTGATTGTACCAGTCATACAGTACTCAGTACTGTGGCTCAAATTATGCTTTCCCTGCACAGTCCCTAGCAATTGTACCAGTCATACAGCACTCAGTCCTCAGGCTCAAGTTATGCCTTTCCTGCACAGTCCCTGGCAATTGTACCAGTCCTACAGCACTTAGTCCTCAGGCACAAGTTATGCCTGTCCTGCACAGTCCCTGGCAATTGTACCAGTCCTACAGCACTTAGTCCTCAGGCACAAGTTATGCCTGTCCTGCACAGTCCTTGGCAATTGTACCAGTCATACAGCACTCAGTCCTCAGGCACAAGTTATGCCTGTCCTGCACAGTCCCTGACCACTGTACCAGTCATTCCTCACTCAGTCCTTATGCTCAGGTTTTCCCTGACCTATCCTACACTTCTCTAAAAAGTGGATAACGTCGGGAAGAGCAGACAGTCAAATGACATTTTTTTTGTTTTCCTACAGGAGTGGTGGCACCTCTCCCTTCAGTGTGAGAAGCCCATTGCCCCACGCACTACGGTCCCCAGCTGGCAGCATATCATCCTCCTACTGGGGCCCTAATGGGGGCTCAGCAAACAGCCATCATTATAAGTTCTCTGAGAAATTGCAGATTGTGAAACCAATGGAAGGTAAGGGCTGGAAGCTTCTGTGCTGAGAATACGTGTGAGACATCAGTGGTGCAAGTCATGGGTGAAAGATCAGGGGTGCAAGTCATAAGTGAAAGATCAGGGGTTTTGAGGTCAGGGCTGAGACAATAAGGTTGAGAGATCGGGACATGAGGCAGATTGCCTATGATGTCTGTGGTGTCCACCTCTGACTCAGATAGATTCATTATTAGTGGTCCGGATCTTGATATATTAACTTTTTCAGTTACCATGCTATTTATCCCACCTTTACTGGGCAATCCAAAGACACTACAGAGTTATGTCCCTCTTGTAACCCAGAGAGCTGGTGCATTAACTCTCATTACATCTGTACTGGCAAATATATAAGAAGAAGAAAGTGGGTCCTGCAGCTGTATTTAATTATGATATTAGAAATATATTTTGCTGCAATGAGAATATTTGATTGTAGTTGAAAATATTTTATTATGGTGTACAAATATTTGGTTATGTGTTATCATATTTGATCACAAAAGATGATGGCCAGAAAGTTGACATACCAACTTAAAATCCATGGCTGACTACCCCTCACATGCAGAGGCTATAGATGGAGCACAGAGACCTGGCATAATGTTGCCGTCTTTGTGTAGAACACATCTGAAGGTTTTCAAGCTGGCGGTGAAACATGTGGAGTCGCCAGAGACCTGGACTGTGCCTGCAGTGAAGTTCCATATGAGTACCTGGTGCACTTTTCCGAAGAAAGCTGGTGCACTTTTCCGAAGAAAGCTGGTGCAGTTTTCCGAAGAAAGCTGGTGCACTGATGTGTTTGGTCATCTCAGCCAGTAACAGTCAGCCCAGGCATGTGTCAGGGTTGTCCTCCATCTCCAGTCTTGTTCAGTGTCTGCATCGAGATCATGGGAGAGCAACTGTGTTGCAGAGGAAGAACCCTGTCATAAGCAGAGGACAAGCAGAATTCTGTGGCAGGGACTCTGAGAGGTCTGACTCTGTGAAATACCTAGGTATTCAGTTGGATAGATGCTTGTCTTTTGAAGACCATGTAGACGACACTATTACCAAGGTCAAGATAGGTCTGTCTATCGGCAATAAAAATTTGTGGCTGCTGCGAACTTTGAATGACTGCTTGTGATGCCTTATCGGGATTAGTCCTGTCCACAATTGAGTATGCACTGGTTATCATGACACTTAGCAAGACCCACATTGAACAAATTTAAAGTTAGGCAGTGTGTCTTATTCTCGGATGCTCTAGGGGCACTTCCTGCCAAACAGTATAATACCTCTTGGACTTTCACACAGTATGATACCTCTTGGACTTTCACACAGTATGATACCTCTTGGACTTTCACACAGTATGATACCTCTTGGACTTTCACACAGTATGATACCTCTTGGACTTTCACACAGTATGATACCTCTTGGACTTTCACACAGTATGATACCTCTTGGACTTTCACACAGTATGATACCTCTTGGACTTGTATGATACTTTGGACTTTCACACAGTATGATACCTCTTGGACTTTCACACAGTATAATACCTCTTGGACTTTCACACAGTATGATACCTCTTGGACTTTCACACAGTATGAAACCTCTTGGACTTTCACACAGTATGATACCTCTTGGACTTTCACACAGTATGATACCTCTTGGACTTTCACACAGTATAATACCTCTTGCATAGTATGCAATAGAATCAAACTTTCCAGGGCCACCGCTTTCCTCAAGTTGAAAACAGACCTGTGACATCTGCTTTACGATGAAGATTAAAAGGAACAAGCTTAAAAGAGGCAGGTCTTGGATGGATCTTGCTGAGGAGGACATACAACAGATCTTGGATGGATCTTGCTGAGGAGGACATACAACAGATCATGGATGGATCTTGCTGAGGAGGTCATACAACAGATCTTGGATGGATCTTGCTGAGGAGGTCATACAACAGATCTTGGATGGATCTTGCTGAGGAGGACATACAACAGATCTTGGATGGATCTTGCTGAGGAGGTCATACAACAGATCTTGGATGGATCTTGCTGAGGAGGACATACAACAGATCTTGGATGGATCTTGCTGAGGAGGTCATACAACAGATCTTGGATGGATCTTGCTGAGGAGGACATACAACAGATCTTGGATGGATCTTGCTGAGGAGGACATACAACAGATCTTGGATGGATCTTGCTGAGGAGGACATACAACAGATCTTGGATGGATCTTGCTGAGGAGGACATACAACAGATCTTGGATGGATCTTGCTGAGGAGGACATACAACAGATCTTGGATGGATCTTGCTGAGGAGGACATACAACAGATCTTGGATGGATTTTGCTGAGGAGGACATACAACAGATCTTGGATGGATCTTGCTGAGGAGGACATACAACAGATTTGTTGCCTTCCAGAACATTAATCTAGGAAATAAATGGTTGTATTTGCCTACTGCTTCAAATGCCAGTATCATCGTGCATGTCACCTTTGACAGACGCTGCATAGAGCAGATGCTTGGCATAGTGGACACTTTACTCAAAACTCTGGTTGATAACACATGTGAGGACTATGCTGTGGTTTACACAGATGGAGAACACACGGGAGGGCAGTGCTGTGGTTTACACGGATGGAGAACACATGGGAGGGCAATGGTTTGGTTTACACGGATGGATTGGTTACCTGAGACAAGCGAAGTGCATGGGCGTTCAGTGTGAGTGCAAAGTGACAAATCTTTGTGTTTGTGGTGGTGCCTTTGCTGTTACAACCAGCAGCCTCACAATGGAGACCATGGCTGCAGCAATGGTGGTGAAATGGCTGGATCTGCAAGAATTCAAACATGCATGCAAACTTAGGGAATCACTGAATATGCTCAAGAAAATCCAGACTGGCTTCATTAGACAAGAATTCTCTCATAATTACTTGCCTAACTGTATTCTTTGTGCTGGACCATGCAGGTGTTTGCGGCTGTGAGCGTGCAGAATATCTGGCTGACAAGACTGTAACTATGACTGGGCTGACACTGGATAGGAGTGATGTCATTAATGTCATGTGAGATTAATGTTGCAAAGAAGATCATGCAAACAAGCAGGACTGGTGGACATTGTGGTGCAGCCTGAGACAGCCAGATATGACCATTTCACTAAGGGCACAAGACATCTTTACAGTCAACACTGAACGGGCGTGATCAAACGTGTTGCTGTTGAGAAGGAGGTCAGAGCACCTATGGATCTGAGCAGAGTGATGTGATGATAGTCCTCACTAACTACTAATATCTGACCCCAGTGTGAAAATATCCCTGACCTAAAAGTGTGAGCACCCTAAGATTACAGAATCCTAATCTGGATGGCAGACCAACAGAGCATAACCCAGATACCATGTTCAGCCTCTGCAGAGGTTTTTATTTGGGCAACTGTGACTGCTACACCAGTCTGGCCTAACCTGTAGTCATCTGCAAATAGGGCACTTTTTAATTTTTGTATTATGAAAAAATGTGATTACAGTGGGAAATTTTTTATTTAAAATAGTGCCAGTGTTTTTTTTGTGTCCACAACTAAACCATGTTGACTTGCCAGGTTCCATGACCCTGCGACACTGGCAGCACCTGGCCACCCCTCACTTGGGCGGCATTTTTGAGGAGAGAGATGGCGTCCAGATGAAGGGAGAGAAGAAATTGGACCTGGTTGAGGAAATCTACTCACTTAGTGACTTTGAGGAAGATGGTAGGTTGTGAACGAGTTTTTTTTTTCTTCAGATTTACATCTTATCACTATCATGTGGTTTCTTTTTTTAACCTTATCAATTCTATCATTTGTTTTTCTATCAGACAAGTGGATATATGCATTTTTGATTGCTGCTGTTGTTAGCACCTTTCCTTCTTTCCGCTAAATGTTGTGTTGTGCTAGAGATGGGCATAGCAATCACAGTTCATCAGTACTGTAGAGATCTAGTGTTGCCCATCAGTACTGTAGAGATCTAGTGTTGCCCATCAGTACTGTAGAGATCTAGTGTTGCCCCTCAGTACTGTAGAGATCTAGTGTTGCCCCTCAGTACTGTAGAGATCCAGTGTTGCCTATCAGTACTGTAGAAATCTAGTGTTACCCATCAGTGCTGTAGAGATCTAGTGTTGCCTATCAGTACTGTAGAGATCTAGTGTTACCCATCAGTACTGTAGAGATCTAGTGTTGCCCCTCAGTACTGTAGAGATCTAGTGTTGCCCATCAGTACTGTAGAGATCCAGTGTTGCCCATCAGTACTGTAGAGATCCAGTGTTGCCTATCAGTACTGTAGAGATCCAGTGTTGCCCATCAGTACTGTAGAGATCCAGTGTTGCCCATCAGTACTGTAGAGATCCAGTGTTGCCCATCAGTACTGTAGAGATCCAGTGTTGCCCATCAGTACTGTAGAGATCCAGTGTTGCCCATCAGTACTGTAGAGATCCAGTGTTGCCCATCAGTACTGTAGAGATCCAGTGTTGCCCATCAGTACTGTAGAGATCTAGTGTTGCCCATCAGCACTGTAGAGATCCAGTGTTGCCCATCAGTACTGTAGAGATCTAGTGTTGCCCATCAGCACTGTAGAGATCCAGTGTTGCCCAACAGTACTGTAGAGATCCAGTGTTGCCTATCAGTACTGTAGAGATCCAGTGTTGCCCATCAGTACTGTAGAGATCCAGTGTTGCCCATCAGCACTGTAGAGATCCAGTGTTGCCCAACAGTACTGTAGAGATCCAGTGTTGCCTATCAGTACTGTAGAGATCCAGTGTTGCCCAACAGTGCGTGTGGAAGGAATCATGCTGCAGAAGCTGCCAGATGAGAAGAGCTCTGTCTGCCTGTCAGAGCTTTCCTCCTAGACCAGCTGCCAACCAAGGCTAAGAGCTAGCAGACTAACAGTTTTTGTGTTGCATTTCCTTGTCCTGGCATCAAGCTAGTATCTTCCCTAATGCACTCATGTACCCCACCCCACACCCCTCACCCACCCCAAGTTGTTGCCTCAGTTTGGGATTGAAGATTTTGATGTAGGTTTAATATACACCACATTGGGATGCTGCACATAAATTTATTTGGGTTTTAATGTCCTAATTTTCACTCCTTAGAAATGGATTGGATCGTGCGACAGTATTATCAGAAGACAGAGGCCCATAATTAAAGAAATTAAAGAATTACTAAACTTAAAATTTGTAATTTTAATGTCAAATCAGTACTTTTATATGGGGCGGAAACATGAAGAACAACTAAGGCAATTACTAATAAACTACAGACATTCATTAACTGGTGCAGAATAGAGGGAATTAAATGGTATGATAGAATAATTAATGTAGAGCTATGGGCGAGAACTAGCAAGTTCCAGTGGACCAAGAGGTGAGGAAAAGACGCTGGCATTGGATAGGGCACACATTGAGAAAACCGGAGAACAGCATAACTAGAATGTCTTTGCATTGGAACCCACAGGGGCATAGGAATAAAGGAAGGCTAAAAAACACATGGTGAAGAGAGCTGGAGAATAAAGTTAGAATGATGGGGAGGGCAGAGGGAGAGCTCCTTTTGCAATAGCCAAGGATAGAACGACTTGGCGTGAGTTGACTGAGGGCCTATGCTGCATTTGGGAATAGAAAGGCAGAAGAGAAGAGAGGCCCATAAAGAACTCAAGCACTTACAAATGATGGAAGAAGTGTCTGCTTAAATGGAATTCACTTACTCCCCATATGTGGGTCCGGGTCCCATTTTGGAGGGGAAATAGACCCACTGCCTCCCAGCAAGCTTGTTATACAAGTGAATAATTGGGAGTATACCTCTATAGGTTCAGTTACTACCTTCCTGACTGTTTTGTGAGTACATGCTGACTGTTTTGTGAAGCTTTAGACTCTTTTTGTTAACACTTACTGACTGTTTTGTGAGTACATGCTGACTGTTCTTAACTGTTTTGTGAAGCTTTAGACTCTTTTTGTTAACACTTCCTGACTGTTTTGTGAAAACATGCTGACTGTTCTTAACTGTTTTGTGAAGCTTTAGACTCTTTTTGTTAACACTTCCTGACTGTTTTGTGAAAACATTCTGACTGTTCTTAACTGTTTGTGAACACCTTCTGTCTGCTGAATGCCACAGATGAGGCACATGACATTCAGACTCGGAGAGAGCAGGAGATTGGCTTGACCTATTCATTCACAGACTCAACAATAAGTAACCCTGGAAGCTATCGGGGGCAAACCAATCTCTTTGACTCAAGGTAAGACTGCATTTTTTTTCCCCATATCCTCCTTTGCCTACTTCTTCTTCATTATTCTTTTTTTCTCTCATGTTCTCTGTATGCATCTCGTTCAGTGATTACCGTTCGCTGTAGATCTAGTCCAGCATGGTTCACAAAGAGAATAGTGCACTTAAGGTCATCATTGGTGCCCAGGAGCTTGTCTTGCGTATGAAGTCATCAGTTGACATATTTGTTGGTTGAACCAAGAGGACACAGATTTGCTTAATTTATTACCTGGCATATTTCACTGTATCTCGTCAGTTGCATTCTACAGTAACTATTGCAAAACATGAAGTGAAGGAAAGGAATCCTTATAACTGAAACACAGCTACTCTTTGAAGTAATTGGAGATTAGGAAATGACAGTGAATCCAAGTCACCTGTTAAATAAGCTGAAAAATATCTTGAGACCTCAGAGATGTTTTACAGAAGGCTTAACTCTTTGAGTACCATAGGGTTTAGCATCACAGACCCAAGGGCTAGTCAAGAGAGACGTAAAATCTGTGCATCATGCATTTATTGGGCCTGTAGGTAGGAATCTATGAACGTATGATGCGTTCCTTGGGACTCAAAGAGTTAAAATTCCTTAAACAGCCAGAATGAGTAATCCAGATATTTTGAAATACCTGAGTACGTGTTATCACAAACATGAACAAGAGACAGACATCATGTCTTAGCCACTGAAGAAAGAAACTGGGGCATGTTGTGAAATCTGGAAAGATGTTATGGAAACTGAGACAGATGGAGGCAACCTCATTTTTTGCCCTCATATGAAAGGCTGCAAGGAGACAAATTAGTGAATTGTGGAAAGTCATAATTGCCCCTACAGCCAGCAAGGAACTTGATGATGATGAATATTTGCTGTGTTTCATGCTGATGTTATTATCTGTATCGTTCCAGTCAGATGTTACTGTTATTATTGTTCTCATGTTGCAGGACATCGTCAGTGGGTGACAGCCTGAACAAGCTGGCACGGGGTGACCAGGTACCTGGCAGCACCACAGAGCCACAACACCTGGCGGAGCACCATGTCCAGCCAGAAGACAGTGCTCATAGCACACACAGCAGGCCAACAGGACTGGCTTCATTGTTACAAGGGCGGGAAAACACAGAAGTTGGCAGAGCCCTGATGCGGGTCTCAGCTTTGAAATCAGCAGTCACATCTACCAGTGTGTCACCGCCATCTTCCATTCGTGGCTCTTCTTCTGATTTCAATCAGACAGTTTTGTCTTCCAGAACTTTTGGTAGCCATTCAGTTGGCTCTTCAACTCCTAGGGGCATTCCAGGATCAAGGTCCTTTGAACAGGCAATGAAAGAATATGAGGAGAAACGAAAGGCTTACTCCGATTCCAAATCTGCAAAGAAGCCAGAACTGTTTGCTCCTGGCATGACTGGGAAAGGTTTTCTGCAACAGTTGAAGAGTAAAGGTTACTCACTGTACGGTTTGTGGGGAGTTGGGGCCAAGAACAATAACTCTGTTGTAGAAAGTAGCACAGACGGAGCAGACGGCAATGGCGATGGCAACACACCAACTACAAAAGCATTGACTGAGTCTGTTTTCTCTCAAGGAGCAGGGGTTGGAGTGCTTGGTGCTCTTACCAATTTTAGACGTAACGGAATGTTTTAGACTTTTTGTGTGTGTGATATGAATTTTTTTAAAGGATTAGTTTTGTTTTCATTAGCAGTTGCTATTTCTGAAAGCAATCTTTTCCAATTGACCCCCCCCCCCCCCCCCCCTTCCCAACCGCCCGCTGTGAACTAATTGTATTAATTAAATGCTTGCTTATTTGTTGTTCATATTGAATATCCCTGACCACATCATGAAAAATTGTAATATATTGTAACTACTAATTATTGTGATAATATACAGAAGACAAATCTACAGAGCGTTTTTGGACTCAGAAGATGTTGACCAATAAATTAACTTGTTCAGGCCTGGCAGCACATGATGTGATTGGTTTGTGCCCCTTGAAGACCAACCATTGAGTTGTGTTCTCTTGCTTGTTTACACTTGGTCAAAACCTAATATAGAAATCTGGCCAGGTTTGTAATGTACTGCTGAGTTTTCATAGTGGTTATCTCCCCTACTGCTGGTATGTTTTGGGACTGGGATAATTTCTGTGAGGGTAAAAACTGGGCAGGTGTGTGATCACCTATGTCAGCAAGCAAGACAATAGAAGTTCAGAAAGGTTCATACAAATGATCTTACAATTGTCCATTAAATAACCCCATAGAAGCTAGTCTGTGCCATGTGTGGTGCTGGATTGTAAAGAGAATGGAGGTTGTTGCTGGAGTGGCTAGGTATCTTAAGGTCTTAGCTGAAATCTAAAAGAGGTAAAATTACAGCAGCCGAATCGTAGGTTTACTACTTCCACAGGAACCGAATACCAAATCCTTGTTGGAAACATATATATTGTCAGAGTTCTTTAGAATCTCTGAACAAAGATCAGATGTAAACACATAATAACATATTGATTGGTACTAACAACAAAAAAATCCTATTATGGTATGTGGCATGGAACAGAAAGAATTGAGTATGCTTGGGCCAAGTATCAAAAATAGCAAGACACATGATGCGATGGGACACATAGGGTAGAACCAATGATACATCTCTTGTTGCTTCAGATGGAAGGAACTAATGGAGAGGCTGCAAGTCAGGAGCCAATGACACCATAGAGTGGAAGGTTGTCAGTGATGACATCAACATACTGACATCTTGGTGGTGGCTTGTGAACATACACCTTTTATGGGGGTACTGGCTGGGAGCTGTAACCTAATGGCTGATGAAATCTACGGTTCTAGACTCTTGTGTTAACTGTAGGATGAAATCTAAGGTTCTAGACTCTTCTATCTGTAGGATGAAATCTACGGTTCTAGACTCTTGTGTTAACTGTATGTAGGATGAAATCAAAGGTTCTAGACTCTTGTGTTAACTGTAGGATGAAATCTAAGGTTGTAGACTCTTGTGTTAACTGTATGTAGGATGAAATCTAAGGTTCTAGACTCTTGTGTTAACTGTAGGATGAAATCAAAGGTTCTAGACTCTTGTGTTAACTGTAGGATGAAATCTAAGGTTGTAGACTCTTGTGTTAACTGTATGTAGGATGAAATCTAAGGTTCTAGACTCTTGTGTTAACTGTAGGATGAAATCTAAGGTTGTAGACTCTTGTGTTAACTGTATGTAGGATGAAATCTAAGGTCTAGGACTCTTCTAGTACTACGGTTCTAGACTCTTGTGTTAACTGTATGTAGGATGAAATCTAAGGTTCTAGACTCTTGTGTTAACTGTAGGATGAAATCTAAGGTTGTAGACACTTATGTTAACTGTATGTAGGATGAAATCTAAGGTTCTAGACTCTTCTATCTGTAGGATGAAATCTACGGTTCTAGACTCTTGTGTTAACTGTATGTAGGATGAAATCTAAGGTTCTAGACTCTTGTGTTAACTGTAGGATGAAATCTAAGGTTCTAGACTCTTGTGTTAACTGTATGTAGGATGAAATCAAAGGTTCTAGACTCTTGTGTTAACTGTATGTAGGATGAAATCTAAGGTTCTAGACTCTTGTGTTAACTGTAGGATGAAATCTAAGGTTGTAGACACTTATGTTAACTGTATGTAGGATGAAATCTAAGGTTCTAGACTCTTGTGTTAACTGTATGTAGGATGAAATCTAAGGTTGTAGACTCTTGTGTTAACTGTAGGATGAAATCTAAGGTTGTAGACTCTTGTGTTAACTGTAGGATGAAATCTTAGGTTCTAGACTCTTGTGTTAACTGTAGGATGAAATCTAAGGTTGTAGACTTTTGTGTTGACTGTAGGATGAAATCTAAGGTTCTAGACTCTTGTGTTAACTGTAGCCCACACAGAAGATTATCAGCTGCTCTAGATGAGAGGTCAACTTGTGATATATGTCATTGTTATTATTTGTTTGTTATTTTGCTGCCTTCTATCTGTTGCTCAACTTACTTGAGATGCTGCTTGCATGTCCAGTTTGTGTGAGATATTCCTAGGGATGATAGACCTGAGTGAATGTGATTGAAAGCTTATTGTAAATCAAATATATATCTTTGGGAGCTTATTGTAAATAGAATATATATGCTTGGGAACTTTTTGTAAATAGAATATATATGTTTGGGAGCTTATTGTAAATAGAATGTATATGTTTGGGAGCTTATTGTAAATAGAAGATAAGTGATTGAGCACTCATTGTAAATAGAAGATAGATCAATGAGACATGTGATGAACCATGGAATTCTAACAGAGGATGACAGATTGGAAAGATATTTTTAGGTAGAAAAAAGTTCTTAGAAAATGTAATGCAGAATTAAAATATGTGATACTCGTGATAGAGGATAAATGATTGTGATGATATTTTAAGAAAAAAGTAAATGATCGGATAATGTGAGACAGTGAAAGCATTTGAGGTCTTCTTCTTCTACTTCTTCTTCTTGTGTTTGCGCTTAAAAGGATGTTAGTATGTTGTGTTGTAGTTTACAGCTAGACTGTGATATATGTGCTTTTTGGTAATGTGATATACTTTGAAATGGTTATAGATTGTAGATATAAATTGATTTTACTAGTCTATCTGCCTTCACATATTACCTTTACCAATTTTTGTCTGTATCGGTTTAATGTTGAACAAATTATTGAAAATAAAATACCTCTTACACATGAGCCTTGAGGAAAGTAATATGTTGGAAATCAGCCACTGTTGAGGAATTGATTTGTAACATGTTACTGGCATTTCATTCAGCAAATGTGTTAGTACTGTCTAACCAGAGTGTAGAGTAGATGTCATCTGTATACTTCAGTATGTGCTGAGGGAGACTGGTGGGCATATCCTGAGTGCTGTAACAATGGTTGCTTGTGTCCGCTATTATCAACAACACTTGAGTAGATTTGATCATTCCAGATGTGAATGAGATGTCTGTCCTGTGGTCAGTAGCTGTCGATAGTAACTGTTGTAACTATACTTTGTAGATTGAACATATTTGTAAAAGTTGACACCAAAGACCTTGTACATATCTGCTTGTTGTGAGTGTTCAGCCCTGGTGATGTTGTGTTTGGGCTTGGTTTGTTTACTTTTATTTTCCTGCTGAATTGGTTGCCCATGTATATATAAACTGAGGTTGTCTGTGGTGGCAGAGCTGTGGTACAGTCACTGCTTGCACAAAAGTCTGATGTTAATTTCTCTGTGAGACCTCACTTGGCCAATCTTGACGGTCTTTGAAATTACATAACAGTTCAAAAACTAATATATCTACAGGGGAAGATACTAAATGAAACTGTGAGGTATCTTCTGCACCAGTTTTGTAGAGAAAGGACTAAAATTTACTGGAAGATTTGAGTAAAATAGAACATTAAAGCCTGAAGGAGAAGGGGAAAGACTAAACATGATTGTAAAGTTCACTTTCCAGAGTAGGTAAGGAAAGTCTAAACATGATTGTAAGGTGCCTCACTTGCCAGGGTAGAAGAGGAAAGACTAAACATGATTGTAAGGTGCCTTCACTTGCCAGGGTAGAAGAGGAAATACTAAACATGATTGTATCTTTACTTTCTATGGCTGCTGGCTGATTTTGTTCCCTCACCTACCCTTTGTTCTATTCTGACCAGATGACTGAACCATTTGATCCTCTGATGTTCTATGAAATCATTCACTGGCGCTATGCCTACTATTGTTCTTAGTTCTTCTTGGTGACTGTATCTTGTTGTATTATATCTCATCTCACATGTCATAATTGTGCATTTGTTGTTTCTAGGACGGTCCATGTCTGGCAGTGATAGCACAAAGTTGGTATGAATAGGGCTTTTAACAGCTGCTGTTTGTTTTGAGAATATGTTGACATTTTCATGTTTCAAAAATGAAGCTGTGTTTGGTAATCTATGTTGCTGGGCTTCAATACACAGTTTTCTGTTGCACTGTCAAATCCTGCATGAGAAACAGAAAATAGGAGGAAGAATAAGAAGACAAAATCACCTCTAAGAATCACCTGTAGAAGAGGAAAGCCAGTTTGTAAGATACCTCCAAACCCAGGATAGAAGAGGAAAGCCAGATTGTAAGATACCACCAATCTCAGGATAGAAGAGGAAAGCCAGATTGTAAGATACCTCTAATCGCAGGATACAAGAGGAGCAAATAAACACAGCTGTCAGCTGACTCTACTCACTGAGAAAGGGCTGAGTGAAAGAATGTTTTGTGGTGATTTTGTGTAAATACAGCTTTACTCCAGAACTGTGCATTGTCAGGTCATGAATGAACAACAAACACTATTCTGCAATTATATATTTCTGTGTATACGAAAAACTGTATATTCAAGAATGTTTCAAAGATGTCTGTGATATATAGACTGTTTCCTGAAATGTTTTCTGAAACAGTACAAATCTGATGTCTCTGTAAAGTTTTTAAATACAGCCTTGTTTGCCAAGAGTGGATAATTCTATTCACATTTGGAGAGAAAAAATATACAACACCAGTGAAATTGCTCTTGCATTTTCATTAAAAATGTGTATAATTGTATCACTTCTTATACATTGTATGCTGTAGAATTACATTTTAGAAGGCAAATAAGACTGTTATTTTATTTTAAATGTGTATGATAAATTGTAAAAAGGACATAAAGCAACCA